GTAACATTATACTTCTTACAACCTACTTGTAATTAAGGACCTTATATTCTCTCGAGAAGGCTCGCCTTCTTAACAGCGTAGAGCCATAATCCACAAGCACTCGATATGATTCTTCGTTTAGTCGACCTCTTAGACACACTAGTATATCTTTTTGATAGTTGTCCAAGGCTATGCCATTTGTCTCTGAGAAATAGCAACTATCTCTAGTATTAGCCCTCAATACCTTTATTGAAAAGCTCTATTTTCCTACTCTATTTCTTCATCAAGTCAATGGCCCTTGAGATTGTGAACCTGCCATGAATTGTTGGTGCTTAAACTTTGACATTTTGAAAAATCTGTAATTTGATGGTTTGGCTCCCAACAGTAAATGTACAATTTCTTTGCCCTAATATTTATCGTTTCTATATTATCAATGGTCTTTGTAAAGCATCAATCTCCATTAATGTTGGTTGTTGTGCCATAGTATTGGCTAATAGCATAGAACTCCACACTATAGGTTGTATTCCATGATTTCTAAAATCTATAGCATTGACCTTCTCTGTAATCCTAACTGCCTCCTTCAATTTTTGTGGATTCCTTAATTTGACCTCTTAGTGGACCATAGGTTTCAACCCTCATATGAATCAATCTATCATCTCTACCTCTAAAACATTGCGAATTTGGAGCCATAGAGATTTAAATCGGAAGAGATAATCTTACACCGACTTGGATTGTGTAAGATTAGACAACTAATCATATATTAACTTTCTTGAATTGATGGATCAAAATTGATTCCTAAGCTCAGTCTCAAATTCTTTCTAATCACGAAATCCACTTTGAGTTCCATAGCTTTGAACTTGATATTGCCACCAAATGGCTACTGCACCTCTCATATAAGTGGAGGCATATATAATTCCTTTGGTGGTGTTTGTTCTAGATAATTGGATGTATTGTCGCATGTTGAAAAGCCATTAGCATACAACTTCTTACTTTGAGGTCCTTAAGTATGTATTAGGCTTACTCAATTTTAGCCTAACAAATGTTAACTCTTTTCTCTTAGAAGCTTCTATTTGTCCTTGCAAACTAGCTATCTGGTCTAGGAGGTGTTGTATTCGAGTCTCCATTTTGGATGGCTCCACCATATCTTCCATGTCGCAATTTTCTAGCTGAATTTTACTATTGTAATGCCTTCTTCTCTTCTATTTGATCCCTTAAAGTAGCTCCTTGTAGCTCCAAAATAGTACTTGATGTGATCACAACAATTAACTTTTAACTAAATTGTGAATATCAATATACTACTAAAGAACATATTAATACTTGCTCTGATACCAATCAAATAGAACTAGTTTCTCTGAGGTCTAAAACCTTACCAATTTCATAATAATAAAGATCTTGACACAATATAAGATCAAGCACATGTGAATAAAACTAAAAGTAATTAAATGGAATAGAACATGAAAGATGGGACTGAGTAAAAGAAAATAGAACCGAACAAAATCAAACAGAACAGAACAAGAAAAAGCAAGCAAACTTTACTAAGAAAAAGAGTCTTAAGCCATACCTGACCAAATGCCCAAATAGCCTTAGCCATTCCTATTTATACTTTGTTCAACTATCTTTGGAACTTTTTAGAATGTTTCTAATGGTAGATTCGACCAAAATAATCGCCTTTCTAGATGACATAAATATTATTCTCTTGGAATTTGTCATAGGCCCACTTTAAGAGGTGGTTTCTACAAAAATTTGAAAAGTCCTATCAAAATTCTAAAAAATCAATAAAAATTTAAATTCTTAATTTTGATTTTTAATTTTTTTTATAATTTCTGAAATTAAGATGTTAGTTGGTATATTCAAACTTAAAATAAAAATAATAATTAGATTTATTTTATGGCTTAATTTTACCTTATATTGTATTTAAAAGTCAAGACTTCTAAAAGAGAATTAACCTTCATCAAGCAAGAAACTTTTGTAAGTCTTTTGTACTATTTCTTTTCAAATTAGGATTTTAGATATAAAGACTCCTTAATTCTTGTTGATTATGTACAAAATTTAATTTTTGACTATTTTTAAAAAATATTTATTGATATTTTAAAATTATCTTTAAGTAAAAATTACTTATTTGTTTAAAATAAAAAAAATAAAAAAATAAAAAACTCTAACTTATGAAAATAATTTTTGTAAAAATGTTAAAAAACTTATAATTCCAATTTTAAAGTAGATTTTTGATACTTTATTACTTCTATTTTAAATATTAAAGAATTATTTTTATAGATTTATAAGATTAAATCTATTATTAGAAAAAATATTAAAAGTGTTAACTTATTATTACAGTCACCTATCTCTAAAGTTATTTTATATTTTTAGAATTTAAGTATTTTTACAATAATGCCTATAAAAATGATGTATTTTGCTAGAGGTAATTTCGATAATGTATAATAAACAACCTAAAATAGTTTCTTAACTTGAATTGTGTTTGTGATTATTTAAAATATACCCTCAAGAATCATTTAATAAAATATTTTCTAAAATTTTAGTTCAAAATACAAGTCTTATATTTTAATATATTTAATCTTTTTAAGCAAATACTCCTATAATGTCTATAAAAATCTGATATATATATAAATATATATATATATATATATATATATTCTCATGATGGAGGATTTTTGTGATTTACTTAAGGAACATAATTGGATTCAAAGACAGAATCTCAAGAATATAAAAATATAAATACAGAAACATAATGAAACTTTGTCAAAAATTTATATAAGATACTATTCCCTTTCAAAGTAATTTTATTGAACATAATTAGTTATATATTTTTTAAAATTTTAAATGATAATTTTACATATGTATGTATATGTATATATATATATATATATATAAGTGTGTTTGTGTGTGTGTGTACAATAGAAGATCCAGTTGAGTTCATTAATGTCATAAAATTTATAAGTCATCTTTAAATACAAATGTAAAATAAAGCTAAATTCCTAAGAGTCACATTTTTATTTCAAGTATTAAATGTGCATTCTTAAATGCATACTTTAAGGTGCAATAATTCTTAAATCTAAATGCATTACTTTTAAAAATCAACATATTGTATTATCAGTAAGGCGTATAAGAACATTTTAACCCATGAAATTTTCAAAAGCTTTCATGGAAGATCAAAGTTTCACATGTCCTCCCTATCTACACGTACTTACAAAAATGAGTAAACAAATAAAGCACCAACAATTACATAATCATCCAAAAACCCTGTTCAAATTACCCTACAACCCTCAGGGGCATGGGCACTGCATGCCCATGGTTTGGGGATAGAATGTACTGTTTTATTTTATTTTATTTTGTTTTTACTGTTTTTCATTCTTATCTTAGAGTCATGTGAAATCCACAACACGTCTGGTAGTACAGGCTCCACTCTGGCATGGTCTAAATAGGATAGGGCACAGTGTTTTTGAAAACATATTCTGTGATACTTAGAATCAAATCTAGTGGATTCATGAACAAAAATTTGGTTGGCATGCTGAATAGCTGGAGCTTCCACCAAAGAGGAATCCATATGTTTTATTGTCTGATCACTTGTGATCAACTGTGGAATGGAACCATACTTGTAACTTACCTATTTGTTACATAAATAGGGTACACCAAGGAGCATTTTGAGGACAGCTCTCTCTCTCTACACATAATGTTATCACACTTTTTGTTACTGCCATCACAATTTGCCATTCACCATATGCCACCACAATTTACAATTTTTGTTATTACCACCACAATTTGTCACAATTTGATTTTCCAATCAAAATAATTGTAAATATTTTTAATATGTTCTCTTTTTTCAAAGTATTACTAAAATATATATATATATATTCAAAATATTTCAAAAGAAATAAAATTTTAAATAAAATTTTAATAAGAATCAGTTGTGGTAACAATACCAAAAATTACAGAAATATTGATGTATTGCTGATGATGGTAGTGATAACGTCAGACTCATTAGAAATTTCAACAAAATAGTAACACACAAACACGAGTAATATGAATTCCGTATAGTTATGCGAGTTCATTACTGGATGATGTGGATCATAGCATCGAAATGTTTGATTTCCAAGTACATGATTGATTGTCCAGAAAAAGTGGATGCCTCCTAGAGTTGAATTCAGCTTGGCAGCTTCTGTAACGGTTGTCCAAGTTGGAAAGCACTCAACTGTAGCGAGTTGTCGAAGATCTTCGTTACTATACCACAACTGTAATTATTTCTTGAAGGATTAGAATTTGATAAACCTGAAAGAGTTGAAACGGATACATGGATATTGAATCTTAAGAAAAGACAAACTCGATGGAGTCAGACCTGGGCTGTCACCCAGAGAGATGGTTTTCTGCAGGTTCAACTGGGAAATCTGAGAGTAGTGTTTCGTTTAGATGAGTTGAACAATGGCTGCCAGATGAAAATAATCAGATTGTGGTAGTGTTGGGCAAAGACAAAAGTCCCATACAGATTTCATGTACATTATAAATGAAGATAATGCCAGTAAATTTTAAAAGAAATCACTGGACAAAGCTAGAGTTTCTCTTGGTTAGAACAAAAGTGTTAAATGAACGGAGTTCCAAACCCACATCACAAGCATTGTCAACCATAACCAACAAACATACAACCCTGGATGCACTGATGAGTCCAGAAGAAAGCAGTCGCATAACAAACTAGTCCTTATCTTTCAATATTAAAAATAAAGACCGAACCTGCGTTCACAACTTCAATACAGATAATTGAGATGTCTTATGAAAGAAGTACGGATGCAGAGTATTCAAAGTACGACACAGAACTACATAACGCGGAATACTTGATGATCTACTACTGTCTTACTACAGCTACTCAAGAATACATTGATCATTCAACAATGTGACGAGCAGGAACGTAATCGTCCCTATAAACTCGACATGAATTCAACTAATCGGTAGTTGAAACGTAAAAGCTCATACAAAATGAAACAACCAGGCAAGAGCAAAAACAGAAACAAGACAAGAACAAGAACTAAGGTCAATGCATGACTTTAGGTTAGAAGTAAAACAAAAAATAAACGCATCACGAACGCCTCCCAGTCCTCGTAGTAGGAGTAAGGGACGTGTCCAGGACAAAAAACCTGATCTACGCTCATTTCACATCAAGTTCACCCGTTATTAATATCCTCAATAATATTCAAGGATTTCAGTAACCTTAACTAACAGAGCCGCCATTTCTAAATTTCAGTATCTGTGATGAAGCTTCTCTTGTTCCCGGTAATTTTCAGCATACCTGCACGACAACATTCTCAGCACTCAGAACTACGCCCTCGTCCAACGAAGTAAGCAAGTTGAATAAGTATATGAAGTACCGAGCATTATTATATGGGCATCGAAAGCCGTCTATCATGCACTATTCCAGACCAGCTTGACCTAGGGTCATCCTATATACACAAAACATGAACCCAATAAAACCATTTCATATGCAACACCATACTAGCGCATAGCATTAACGTTCAGCGGAATCTGAATCAAAATACATGAAAGCGAAGGGCAGACTCACATGTAGGTGCCGACAATGGGAACCACCAAAGTGAAGGCGGATACCCAATTTTCGTGAAACTTCTTACTCAACTTGTAAGGAATGTCCTTCCACAACCCCGTCATAACATGCTGGTGGTACGGGGAAATGGTGTAAGCAACCTCTTTCAGCCTAACTGGTACCTTCCCCATGGCTGCAAAAAATGAATAATCCAAAATCAAGCCTTCTTAATCCAGAAACCCAAACCCTAAATCCACTCGATAAAATATACTCGACACTTCGATCACATAATCAAAGCCCTCAACGCAGATTCACTAGAACCCAAAAAAAAAATCCAGAAAAACAGCACCACATCGCATCGTAGCCAGCTAATACACCCTCACAGATCATCCTAGAAACAAATCAGAATCGCAGCATGTGAACTCACCCAAAGGCCTCCCCCCGATGCCTAAGCGTCGAATTACCCACTAACTGCTGCAAAAACCCACAACCCAGACACAGCACAACCTAACAAGAAGCAATGCGGAAGCAATCGAGAAGGAAATAAGAGCCACATACCTTCGGATCTAGACAAGTGTGTGCACCAAGCGCCCTAGCTGAGCAACGTGACGAAGAGCCAACGGAGAAATGCCCCTCGAAGAAATCAAGAGTGCGGGGAAGTCCTCCCCTGGATTCCAGGTCTCCAAATGGAGCCTTGAATCAGATGCCGAGTGGTTTCGGTATGTCGATGGGCACCAAGTGTCTTGTAAAATTTATATATTCTATTTCATTTCTTCATCCAATGGTATTTTTTTATTGTTTTATAAATTTGATTTCATCCAATCACAAGTTTAAAGAGTTAGAGCTTTTTCTTTTCTTTTCTTTTTATACATAAGAATCCTTTTACTTCTAGAACATGATATTAGCATTTCTTAAGTGCATAGTTAGCATTCACATCTAATGTTAAATAATAATAAAATATGAAATATTATAAATTCAAAGACATTAAAAGTTCTTTAAGTCTTATAAATTTCTATTATATTCCATAGCTTTAAAATTAAAGAGATATTTTATTTTTAAAATTACTTTAAAAGGCATCATTCCAAAAGCCTTGTAAAGGTTCTCTATTTAGGAATGAAAATTTGGTTTTCATTAGTCTTGGCTCTTAGAGATATTGTAAGGTAAAACAGGGTCATAAAATAGAAAAAATAAAAATAAATATATATATATATATATATATATATATTAAAATACAATTCTAAATACATAACTTATGTCTTGATTTTGACAATTGTAACAAATATTTGTTTTTAGTATTAATTTAGTTAAAATTTGTATTGGATCCACCTTAAATTATGGTATTAAAATTTAATATATTTTTAAATACTATAATTTAAGGTGGATCCAATACAAATTTTAACAAACAACACTATTCATGTTATGTAGAAAAAAAAGTGCATTCCATCTTATCTTCTTCCTCGTGACTTTTTAGTTTGCTTTCAAAAGTATAAAACCAACAAAAGATTGTGTTGTATTTAGCAACACTCCTATCCAATTTGGAATTTGAATGTGGAACATGATTTTGGATGAAATGCAGGACGATTGTATCACATCCAAGGTGAAATAAAAACAACATTGATAATACCAAAACGTAATAAACAGAGAAATCTACAATGAATTTGAACCAAAACAAATTGTTACAAGGGAGCACTCACTGCAATGTCGGTGTGTCTTAGAAAAAGCGATGTAGATTGTCGAAGTTATTCTGTTAAAAAAATACAAAGAGTAACAGCAGAAAAATATAAATTCCGCACTTTTCGTTCGGATTACCAACCTCAGCAATGTTGAAAATGAATGTCACTCTGAAAAATGTGGTCCTTCTTGTGGGAACTGAGTTCAAAACATGAAATACACCAAAAGCAGGGTTGGTATGAGCGGCTTCACAAAATACACAAAAAGCACGCACAAGTGAGTCCAAAGAAGCGCCGATAACTTCCAGAATGATTCCTCAAATGTCTAGATTGTGGCCCACACTCAAAATCGGTCCGGGAACAGGGATGAAGCAAGCTTCAACTGCTGCTACCACTTGAAATGAAAAATTACTGTAGTTTACTAGTTCACCGTAATCTCAATCGTCAAAAGACTGCAAGATGATGGTGGAGAATGCAATTCAATAACCTGGATGTGATATTTAATATCTTGGTTGACGAATATAAGTGCGATGTTGATTACACGATGTTTTTGAAAAGATTGAAGATAAAATGCTTGTCTTACAGATTTGTTTAGTGGACCTTTGAGGATGTTGTCTCATTAACCCTGAGAAGGTTTATTAACCAGGTTCCAAACCTGAATCCCTCTAGAGTGACATGAACCATGTAGACTAGAAGTGTAGTCCTGGACAGATCTCGAATCAGTCCAAGGAGAATAAGAAATTCATTAGCATCCTAAGGGATTATCACGCGTTGCACCCTTCCAGAATTTACACTTCAGCTCTTCATTCGAGCATGTTCACTAGATTTCAGTGCTGTTCAGGACAACAACTTCTCGTACACGGAAGAAACAAAATCGGTAAAACATCGCATCAAACGAGTGTCAAATAGCTCTTCTCTGATGTGAGGCTACGGAGGGCATGAATAGTTACATTCTTATATCTTCACATGCTGACATCCAAACGAAGAAAAAAGCCAGCATTACGACACTCAAATGCTGTGTAAGCTTCCAGTAAAAGCTCAATCAGAGCTTGTCATACATAAGTGGCAAGTACTGCCCTCATGAACAAAGGGGACTTCGAGCGACTCTAACTCTCAGTTGCTTCTCTCAATCGCCTGATCGTACTGCGAACAGTGACCGCAGCAGCCGTGCTGTTACAACCACGGTATCGTCAGATCAGAGTCGTGGGCACCAGATTCTTGTTGAGGTATCTTAAAACAATTACTGGCAAACGATAGGGAAAAGATGGACCATATTAAGGAAAAATATACTAGATGCTGCAGTTGTGAGGAATTTTTCAAATCGCGTTCACGAAGATCAAATAATAAACAACCCGCACACTAACATCAGAAAGGGTGCAGAATTTTCTCACTTCAAGGTGTAGGCACCTCCGGCTTTGACTTTGCCACAATCCTTGCAGTTCCATATGCCGACAGCTTTCCTCTTTACTGCGAACTGTATAACCAGAGGAAAGTAGAGAAAAATCAAGAGTGAGGAGCAGTGGGAACCTCTCTCCCATTTCATATCCGGGTACAATAATGATCCAGAATTACAAAGTTTTGGAAGATTCAGAAGTTACAAAATATATCCTACATCCAATGCAACAGAGGAATGCCTCGTAGAAAACTACATTTTAACCCAAGTATACGTATTTAACCCCACATGTAGCACAAGTATGCGTATTTCCACTCACGCGTTAAAACTTTGCATATCATATAACACATCGATCACAATTGACACTCACCTTCCCGCAGAACTCGCAGAAATACTTCGAGTGCTGGCTGACCTCCATCTTTTTAATCTGCTTCCTCAAACTAGCACCGTATCGGGTGCCTGCAGAAAAAAACTCAAGTCAAAACCCAAGTCTCTAGATAAAACAGACTCGGAAACTTTGATTGGATGAATCTACTTTTCTCGGTAATTGGAACAGGGCATGTACAATGCCTAAATCAATCTATTCTAAACGGCAACAAGCGAGGGATCAAACCAAACTTCTACACACTGAGTGCTACGAAAAAACGTACCATATTTGCCGACGATTCCAGCTTTCTTCGTACGCTTGGTCTGTCAACACAAACATTGCGCATTAGCATAATGATAGATACGGGGGTCGAAAAATACATTCTCAAATACAAATCTAATAGTGTAAATAATTCTTCCTACCAACCGATAACTCTTCACAGAAAAGAAATAGACACCGTCAACTAAGCTGACATCAGAAAAAATCAGACCGCTCTCATCAACACAACAGGATCACAGGTAATCTTCCAACATGGTAGAACCATGAAGTGAAGAAAACCTCACAATATCAACAATGTCACCAACGCTAGTCCTTAGAAGAAATATATTGTTCAACATACCGATTCGTTAATTCCCGTAAACCCTCGCCACACAAACACAAACAAACACACGTATAACCAATCAATAAACCTAAACAAAGCCAAAACCCTAAAACACTGAAACGTTCGTCTGTCGGGGAATTTGAGCTGGTGCAGGTAGAAACAATGGTGGCGAGAATCACAGTAGAATGCAGGAGAAGGTTACCATGGTGGCGAATCCAAGCTGTGAAAACCGTTTGGGATTGAGAGACGCTCGTCCGGCGTTGAGAAACAGCCAGTGGCACTGCAAAAAGACTGATCTGGACGAACGGCTAGGGTTTAGCGAGGAGCACACGGTGTCACGGACTTTTCTTGCGGGAACCGGTGCCCGTGTGCACACAAGCGTGAACTCGATGCTTCTTCACCATCTGGCATTTTAACTAGAAAATGTTTCTCAACACCGGACGAGCGTCTCTTAATCCAGCAATTATAGAAAATATTAAAAAATCAAATAAATTAAATTACCAATACTTTACAAAAAAACAAACTAGTTCAATTCGACATCAGATTATTTCAAATGTTATTTATTTCAGAACTATAATTTTTTTTTTTTTTTAAGGAAGTGATCATGTAACATACAATATATTTAATATTAAAAATGACAAAGCACAACCTTCACAACATAAGTGATGTTGTATAAGTTTTTTTTCATTGTTTACACTATACTCTAAAAGTAAACACTCTTTATTTAAGTCTCCATAATTATTTAAGATTAGCTTCATTCATTGTTGTTATCATTAATACACTATTATTTTTTAAAACAGCGTTGATTATTTTTATAAATATTCTATACTTTTTCAAATACAAAACTTCGACACATGAAAAATTGGATATGGTTGAAAACTAATTAATTTTCAAGTAAGATCAATTTACAAAAGAAAAAAGTTTTTTTATATTTTTTATTTTTTATTCATGCTTATTTTTTAACAATTGCGTCATTACTAACAGAAGGACCAAACTTTACTTTGGGAGGAATATATTAGAGAAAGCTTTTGGAGTATATTAATGCATAGTACAATAATGAATTACACTGCAAACACCTAACTCTGTAGCATAAAAAAATATCTTGTTCTATTTACAATAATACTTTTATAAACAAATTATAATTACACAAAATGCAAATACTAATCTTCTTTATCAAATCAAATACAGTATCATGTAGACATCGATCTGAAATATGAAATGGTTAGTAAAGAAGGCAAAATTTGAAGAAGGTGAAGCATTAAAACCATCTTGAACAAATGAAAATTTAGATACATTCAACAACTGCATCTACAATTGAACATAATATTTCGAGTCATATTTGAAATCATGGTGTACACAAATTGAGAGGTCACACCCAATTTTAAAAATAATGCAGGTAGTAAACGGGACTCTTTGGAACACAAACATTGGTCGTTTTGTTCGAACGGGAGAGTGCCGCGAATTCATCCTCAGACGGACTCACTCACATCACCCCCTGTTGACGTAAAACCACCCCTGCGACCAGTCGCCATTTAGGTTTTCAACGGTGACCGAAGGAAAACCCCACGGTAACCGAATACCGAACCAGCCTTGGAGCAGGTAAAGCCCTAGCCGTGCGTCGAACGTGGTCTTTTCGCAGCTCTACAGCCTGCTGATCTCCCCGTGCTAGATCGCCACATCTCGCCCCTGTGCGTGCGCTTACTTTGTTTCGCCACCATGGTACGTGCTTCGCAGATCTTCCTCTCTCGAATGAGCTCTGCTTTGGTTCAGTGTGCTGCGAATATTCTGTAAAAATGTCACTCGTGGTATTTTTAGGGTTTAGGATTGGGTGAGGGCTTGTTGTATCGGCAGTAGTGGATTTTTTTGGAGAACGCGGTCGGTCTTAGTTTTGGCGAAAGGAGACAGTCTTTGTTTTTCTAGGGTTCGCGTACCTGTCTTAACTGGCCTGTTGGGTCCGTTGATGACAATGAACACGCGGACTTACCATGCTTTTGATAATAAATATCATGGCCTTATATTGGGAAGGATGTTTGTTTCCCAGTGGCGTGTTTACATCTCCAGTTCCGTTCCTGAGCTGCACGTAGCTTGTTGGCATCGAACACTGATTATTGTCTGGAATATATTACCTTGGTTATTCAAGAACTTTAATATTGTGTTCTTTCACGTTCCAGTTGATGGATAGTGTAGAGTTTGAACTCTTCGATGACGCTTCTGATAACGTCACAAGCGGGATACTTTGGTGTTGGTCTTCCGCTAAATGTTTTTTTTCCACATTTAGTTCCTCTGCTGAGGCTTAGTTTTTATTATTGACCTTGGGTTTCGTTCTGCTGCTAGTTCTTAGACTTGAATTACACCTACTGAAAACATTACGATGTGTGGGAGGTCCAGAATCACATTATGGACATTCACCTTTCGGGAACTAGTGTGGGTATCTTCAAAAAATGACCGACAGTCTAGAATTAGTGCAGGGTTGTTGTGGCTTACATTTGTGTGGGCGTTGCTGTGAGTGTGTCTCAGGGTCGTGTGAGAACCAAAACCGTGAAGAAGGCCTCGAGGGTCATGATCGAGAGGTACTACTCTCGCATGACTCTGGACTTCCAGACCAACAAGAAGATTGCCGAGGAGGTAGCAATCATTCCGTCGAAGAGACTCCGCAACAAGATCGCCGGGTTCGCCACCCACTTGATGAAGCGCATCCAGAGAGGGCCAGTGAGAGGAATCTCTCTGAAGTTGCAGGAGGAGGAGCGCGAGAGGCGCATGGACTTCGTGCCGGAGGAGTCGGCCATCAAGACCGACGTGATTGAGGTGGACAGGGAAACGATCGAGCTGTTGGCACACTTGAACATGCCCCAGCTTCCAGGAGTGGTACAGCAAGCTGCTCCCACCACAGGAGGAGGGTTCTTCAAGCCTCAGGGGGGAGGTTATCAGGGCAACAGGAATAGGAATTAGATGGTACCAAGAGGGTTGTATCATGTAGCTCAGTCCTGTACCGGTTTCGGCTCCTGATTCCCAAATTGGATAATACTAGCTTGTTTCTGTGGAACACATGCTTGATACTTCTTTTCACACTCATTTATACATGATTTATTGGATTCCTTTAGATTGCCTGTTTCGAGATTTTGCATTTGCCTTGGCATATTTGGTATTTAAATTTGATGTTATCGGTGCAGACTAATTCAAACGAATTAATAACTTGTCTTCAAGACACATGCACCTATGATGATTAGGCGAGGACGGATTTTGGGTAATATGGCCATTGTTCTGCGAACAAGCTAGTCGACTGATGACGAGTATTTAGAGCAAGTTCGATCCGTGTTCTATTGGGCCAGTTTTAGATACTACTAATTGCTAAGAGATATTCATCTTCTGAATACAAACCTGTACGATACAAACTTTTTATGTGGGCTGCGGTTGCACTCACGGTGACGAATCTCTCGTCCATAAATGTCATATTTAGATACAATAGCTGTTAAAACATTTAGGGCACTAAGAAATGAAGTACGTTAATATAGACCACTGCTAATCTGTGAAATAACAATATCACGGTTCCTCCGTAACTTTTTTCATCAGGTACAGCACCCGTGAGCAGCGATTAGTACCTGCGGTTTTCAACACTTGGGGCATCGTGCAGTGAGCACATCTGTAGAAGAAAGAAAAACCAGCATTTAAGTTTTCACGATAATCAAAGTTGTGCACAGCAACCATTTCAAGCTAATCTATTCAATTTCTAAAAGTCCAGAGAATGGTTATTCTGTATTGAGTAGTGTTGATTTTAAAATTTTGACATTGGAACTTTACATAATTTCGAATAGTTAAGTAAAAGATGTATAGACATACATGTAAGTGATGTCTTCACTCAAAATAATCTGTATATCCTTCCAGTGATTATTCAAGTTGCACGAAGTTCCAATGTCAAGATGAATCTTCGACATTCCATATGTATCTAACAATTTATTTCAAATTTATTCCCTTGTTCCTATTTTTGTAAAGATATTTAGTTATTAAAATTTTATGATTTTTTTTAATGTACAAATACTTATTAATTTTAAAATACAATATAAATCTTTTTATTTTTATAATTAGCAAGAATATAAATTATTAAAAAAATTACATATAAAAATTTATTAAAGATATAAGGTTGTCTAATTCTATTAATAATAATGTTAATGATGGTTGCATATTTGAAAAAAGCCATCTCAAAAATGTAAAATTATCTTAACTATTTAACAATGATGTCAACTTTGAACATCTATATGTAAGGAAATATGTCATAGATATAAAGCTGCCTATCTCTTTTTGTTAGTAATGCCAAAATTGAACATTTACTTATACATGAGCATACTAAAGATATGAGATTGTCTAACTCTTCTATCAATAGTTTTAAAAATCAAGTAGTATTAACAAACTCCTATAGTTATAATGTCACTTATATCAAACTTTATAAAAAATAGAAGGTTGTACAAATCTTTTGGTAATAATCTAAAGTTTAAATATCTATATGTATTGTGATGTGTTACAAACATAAGACTGCTCAATTCTATTCAAAACAATGTTGACTTTAAATATCCATTTATATTGGTCTTTGTTAAGATATAAGATAGCCAAATTTCATGGACACTAATCTTAAGTAAAAGTAATCACTAATTTTGGACATGGACTTATATCAAACTTTGTAAAAGATGTTAGATTGTCCAATTTTTTTTATAATAATATTAAATGTGGACATCTAATCATATCAAACTATGCCCATAATATAAACTTGCTAAATTCCTATAGCAATGATGTTAGCTTATTTTACCAACTAAAATAAAATATTGTCAAAGATCTAAGGTTGTTCAATTTCTTTATTAATAATAACTTCTTGCACCACTTGACATCAAACTTTCTCCAAGAGGTAAGGTTGCTCAACTCCTCTAGTAATGATGTCAATCTAAAACACAAACTTATATCAAATATTCTCAAAGATGTAAGATTGTCCAACTCCTATGATAATGATGTTAAGATATACCACTAATTTATAGCTTAGGTTCTCAAAGATGTAAGGTTGTCCAACTCATTTGGCAATGATGTCAAGTTCTTACATCCTCTTATCTTAAATGTTGTCAAAGATATAAGGTTGCCCAATTCCTTTGGCAATGATGTCAAGTTCTCACACCAACTTATATCAAAAGTTTTCAAAGATATAAGGTTGCCTAACTCCTTTGGCAATGATGTCAAGTTCATACACCGTTTCATTTTAAATATTGTCAAAAATGTAAGGTTGTCCAACTCCTTTGGCAATGATGTCAAGTTCTCACACCAACTTATATCAAATTTTATCAAAGATATAAGGTTGTCCAACTCCTTTGGCAATGATGTCAAGTTCTTGCATCTACTTATATCAAATGTTATCAAAGATATAAGGTTGCCCAATTCCTTCGACAATGATGTCAAGTTCATACACTGTTTCATTTTAAATGTTGTCAAAGATGTAAGGTTGCCGAAACCCTTTGGTAATGATGTCAAGTTTGTACACCAACTTATATCAAATTTTGTCAAAGATGTGAGGTTGCCCAACTCCTTTGGCAATGATGTCAAGTTTTCACACCAACTTATATCAAATGTTGTCAAAGATGTAAGGTTGTCCAACTCCTTTGGCAATGTTGTTAAGTTTTTACACCAACTTATATAAAATGTTGTCAAAGATGTAAAGTTGCCCAACTCTTTTGGCAATAATGTCAAGTTCATATACCCCTTTATTTTAAATGTTGTCAAAGATATAAGATTGCCCAACTCCTTTGGCAATGATGTCAAGTTACACCAACTTATATAAAATGTTGTCAAAGATATAAGGTTGCCCAACTTCTTTGGCAATGATGTCAAGTTCTCACACCATTTTATTTTAAATGTTGTCAAAGATGTAAGGTTGTCTAACTCTTTTGGCAATGATTTTAAATTCTTACACCAACTTATATCAAATATTATCAAAGATGTAAGGTTGCCCAACTCTTTTGGCAATGATGTCAAGTTCTTACATCTTCTCATCTTATTTGTTGTCAAAGATGTAAGATTGCCCAACTCCTTTAGTAATGATGTCAAGTTCTTGCATCCACTTATATCAAATGTTGACAAAGATGTAAGGTTGTCCAACTCCTTTGGTAATAATGTCAAGTTCTCACAACAACTTATATCAAATGTTGTCAAAGATGTAAGATTGCCCAACTCCTTTGATAATGATCTCAAATTCTCACACCAACTTTTATGAAATGTTGTCAAAGATGTAAGGTTGCCCAACTCTTTTGGCAATGATGTCAAATTCTTACACCCTCTTATCTTACATGTTGTCAATGATGTAAGATTGTCCAACTCCTTTGGCAATGATGTCAAGTTCTTGCATCCACTTATATCAAATGTTGTTAAAGATGTAAGGTTGCCCAACTCTTTTGGCAATGATGTCAAGTTCTTACACCCTCCCATCTTACATGTTGTCAATGATGTAAGATTGCCCAACTCCTTTGGCAATGATATCAAGTTCTTGCATCCACTTATATCAAATGTTGTCAAAGATGTAAGATTGCCCAATTGCTTTGGTAATGATGTCAAGTTCTCACAACAAATTATGTCAAATGTTGTCAAAGATGTAAGGTTGCCCAACTCCTTTGGTAATGATGTCAGGTTCTCACACCAACTTATATGAAACATTGTGAAAGATGTAAGGTTGCCCAACTTCTTTGATAATGATGTCAAGTCTCACACCAACTTATATGAAACGTTGTCAAAGATGTAAGGTTGCCCAACTCTTTTGGCAATGATGTCAAATTCTTATACCAACTTATATCAAATGTTGTCAAAGATATAAGATTACCCAACTCCTTTGGCAATGATGTCAAGTTCTCACAACAACTTATATCAAATGTTCTCAAAGATAAAAGGTTGCCCAACTCTTTTGACAATGATGTCAAGTTCTTACACCCTCTTATCTTACATGTTGTCAATGATATAAGATTGCCCAACTCCTTTGGCAATGATGTCAAGTTCTTGCATCCACTTATATCAAATGTTGTCAAAGATGTAAGATTGCTCAATTCCTTTGGCAATGATATTAAGTTCTCACACCAACTTATATCAAATGTTTTCAAAGATGTAAGGTTGCCCAACTCCTTTGGCAATGATGTCAAGTTCTTTCATTGTTTCATTTTAAATGTTGTCAAAGATGTAAGGTTGCCCAACTCCTTTGGCAATGTTATCAAGTTCATATATTGTTTCATTTTAAATGTTGTCAAAGATGTAAGATTACCCAACTCGTTTGGCAATGATGTCAAATTCTTACACCAACTTATATCAAATGTTGTCAAACTTGTAAGATTGCCCAACTTCTTTGGAAATGATGTCAAGTTCTTACACCCTTTCATTTTAAATGTTGTCAAAGATGTAAGATTGCCCAACTCCTTTTGCAATGATGTCAAGTTCTTACACCAACTTATATCAAATCTTGTCAAAGATGTAAGGTTGTCTAACTCCTTTGGCAATAATGTCAAGTTCTCACACCAACTTATATAAAATGTTGTCAAAGATGTAAGGTTGCCCAACTCTTTTGGTAATGATGACAAGTTCATACACCCTTTTATTTTAAATGTTGTCAAAGATGTAAGGTTGCCCAACTCCTTTGGCAATGATGTTAAGTTCTCACGCCAACTTATATCAAATGTTGTCAAAGATGTGAGGTTTCCTAACTCCTTTGGCAATGATGTCAATCTATCACATCCCTCAATACTTAACCATTACATAGAAATCAAGTTTCCTATTAAGCTTGGTAGTGTCTTTAACCTTCTGCATCTTTTCAAATTCAAGACCCTTAAGGATGTTAATCTATGCATACTTTTTGGTAATGTTTCTAAATTTGAGCAACCTTCTAAATCAAGTTCCAATAATATATTAGATAAAAATAATGAATTTGGAATTGTTTCTATGAACTCACAATTTTTCAATTGTAAAATATTTAGATTCTTCATCTTTTCTAAAGCTTCCCTGTCAAAGATTTTACAACATAAATTATCTATGATATTATTAGATATGATTTTTGACAAATCTATACACAACATAAGTGATTTTAATTTGCATGATTGCTTCACTAATATTATTAATGTACTCTACACTTCTATAAGATCTTTCAATATATTTTTGTCAACTATGTAGCTTAATAGTCTTAACAAAGAATAACTTATATCTCCAATGTTATTTTGCATAATTTTTTCTTTCTTGTTGTAACATAAACCTTCCAACTATCAAGCAATCAAATACAACTAAATTAAAATTTTTAATATATTCACTTTTTATTTATTTCATGACAATATAAACTCAATATGAATACAAGATATCTTACAATTAACTACATACTACCATATCACCTCACAAAACAATGATACAACATCATATCTACAAATACTACATGTAAACTATTTATCATCATTCTTGATTTTATACATGTCATTTACACATGTGTTAAGTCAAGTACCTTTGTTGAAAATCCGTTTGTTTGCACCATGCTCATTTTCCATATTCTTGTGTCTTTATATGCATTGTTTGTTTCAACAATCATTTGATCCATGTCTCGTAAATGATCATGCATTCTTATGATTCCATCTTCATCTATTTTTACTAATGAATGACTAATCAATGTGTCCAATGTATCCTTCACATCTTGCTTTAAATCCAATCCTTCATTGTTTGTCCATATTCGCAAAGCTCTTTCTTTTGACATTCCATGTGGATACACATCACTAGTAAAAAAACAACAAATGTCCAAAAATATGTTCTTTTCTTCAACTTTTAAGTAATCAAAGCTTACTCTCAATATTTTCCAAATCTTATGGTGGCTATTTTCTTCATCTCCATCCACATTTCTTGCTCTTTTCAACCTTTGTAAAGCTTGCTCTCAACATCTTACTCTCTTTTATCCTCTTAAAAATGCTCCCATAACTTTTAAGCTTAAAGGTAAGCCATTGCAAGCTTTCACAATCTTTTTACCTACATCATGAAGTTCCTTGGGCAATTCAACTTGTTTTTCATGAAAATGAGTCAAAAACAACTCTAAACTTGTACCTTCTTCAAGTTCTTCAATATTCATTCTATCAATTTTTATAGAACAATGCTTCATGGAATTCCAACTTTGTGTAGTTACAATCAAAGTGCTTCCATTGCTTGCACAAAACTCATTTATAGGTATAATGTCTTAAATTTCATTTTATTTTTTCACATCGTCAAATACCAAGATGGTTTTTTTTGACTTCAAGTGTGATTTCAATAGCACTTGTGCATCTTCCAAAGTCTTAGGTGTTTCTTCAATCTTGAATTCTTCCAAAATATTGCAACAAATGGTGTAGCTATTACCACTATTTTGCATGTTTTCAATAAAGCATGAGGCATCATACATACACTTCATATTATTATATGTAAACTTTTCTATTGTTGTCTTGCCTATTCCACCCATGCCAACAAGACATATTACTTTTACACCTTTTTTGCATAGCTCTAACAACTTATTTGAATATTCTTGTCTATTTGGTAGCTGATCTTCTCGCAAACATGCTTGCACCAACAACTGAAATTGTTATGCCAAAACATATATATTGCACATGTTTTTATATAATATTTTTATATACATACATGTTCCCTTTATATACACCATTCAATCACTTTAATCTACTTCATATCTGTACCAACCAATCAAACAAACAAAACATAAATAACCACAATCTTTACCACTTCATCATCACCACATGTTTCTTTCTTTTTCATAATTTGGTGATATTTCTTCTTTGAACCACTAAAAGAAGGGCCATTATCTTCATAAAATCCAATCAAAAACTTTGTCTTCAAACTTGCAAGTCTCTCACAAATATTTCCAAAATTTGGACGTTGTGAAGGATTAAAGCTCCAACACTCTTCAATCAACTTAGTCAATTCATCACAATTTGAAGGTAACTCTAGTCTTTCTCTTTGTCTTATCTTTTTTAATATCTTTTTTTAATCATAAATGTTAGAAAATGGTTTTTGTCTTGAAAGAATCTCTGAACATGTCATTGCAAATGAAAATACATCAGCTTCAAAAGCACATGTTTTAATTGCCTTGTCTTCATTGTCTAATATTTCTGGAGCCACATATCCTAGTGTCCCATAAATAATAGCATTACTTTTAATTTTTGGAGTCCTTCCAACATTGTTCTTAGAGATCCCAAAATCACTTATCTTAACAAATATCCATTCTTCACCATTATTCTTAATTTTTTTTTTTAAATTAATAAGTATATTACTTGGCTTGAGATCTTGATGTGCAATTTGCATGTCATACAAATAACACATTCCTTTTGTAATTTGATACATAATATCAATAAGCAAACTAAATTCCATTGATTTTTTTTTCTTCAACATATCAATCAAACTCATGTCCATTAATTTTGTAGCTAAATACAAAGTTTCATTTCTCCTTTCTATAGGGTAACTCTCACCAAATTTATCGATGTCTACTTTTCATCAAAAAAATACCTCACAAGATTGGGATGGCTCAAACTTGCTAAAATGCCCACTTCAATGGGAACATGGTCTTCAAAAGTACCAACTATTACCTTTGTGGCACTCAACATTCTAAACCACTTTGATTCGTAAACATCTCCATTAGCACCTTTGCCTATTTGCTCACCAATTTTCAAGCTCTTTATGTTGTTTGAAAGTTCCAAAGCATCCAACTCTCCACCCTCAACACGACCCAAATCTTTCCGTCTCTGAAAAAGATATTTTGCTAATCTACATTCTTCAAAGCAAGTATCTAGGCTTCCATCAATTAACCTCTCATAGAGACTTGCATTATCTCCTTCAACTTCATCAAATATATCAACATTACACATAATTCGTGTGATGCCTTCAACTTCTTTTGAATAAGGCATTGTCATGGTATCAATTGCTGCATTGCAACAAATAACCAAATCTAAAAGGATTTCTCTAAAACTTTCTTTCTTCTTCATTTGAAAGATGGTTGCTTCACGCCATTTTTCATCTCCACAATTTTCTAATAATAAGAAACTTTTGCTTATCACAACATGCAACTCAAAAAATATGAGCCATATCTTTCCAATGTTGTCATCATAAGTCAATATCTTGTCAAATACTTTCATCACTTGGATAAGTTGCATATACAAACTAGTACATTGTTTTCTATTCAACATGTATTTTATCTTCAATAAATCTTCCATTCTTTTAATCAATAAATTGCAAATAAATACTTTGCACCTTGTCTTCTTTTCTTGATAAAGATGCATATCCATGCAAACAACCAAATGAACAATTGGCCATGGTAGATCACTTGTATAATCACTTCTAATCTTTTAATTGCACAATCATAATACCTAAACATGACAAACAAAAAAATCAAATTCTATCCAACTTACATTAATGCATATTTTGGTTAGATCCAAATCTTCATCTTCAAATATGTCAAGTATTCTACCTTATCAATAATTGAAATCCACTTATTTAATATATCAAAACTCAAAACTTTAAATATTTGAAGTGTTTGTGAGAATCATATTTAATCCTACAAATTATACTTAATACCATACAAATTTTATTTATTTTTCATCATTACTATACTCTCAAAAAACAATTTCTCTCATGCACATACTTGCAAATTCACAAACCAAACAAATCACTACATCAAATGCCAAATTATAAACTCTTTTTTACATCAACTTAAACTTAGTGTTCTATTCTACACATGTTTCAATCCACTCCTCTTATATTCTTTTTCATTCACTTATGGATAATACCTTATTTTCTTATCACCAATTTATCTTCTATTCTGTACAAATTTTTGAACTCATCAAGTATTACTATCCCATAGCAATCATAGTTTAATATCTTCTCAAACTTTACTTCATGATAAAGAATTAATTTATACTCTGCACTAAAACACTAATCATGCAAAAAATATAAAATACATTTTCTAACTTATTAAATTTTATTTTAGTACCTTCCCAATCTCCTATATATATTCTTTGTTGCCAATATTTCTCATAAAAATATCTAATACTCAATCACTCACTATTCAAAATAGTCATCAATATGCATCATATACGTCTCTTCTTACAAGACCTCAACTCTTAATCAACAATGCCAACCATCCCCTTCATATCACCTTAAGACCAAACTCCCTATGCCCATTTCTTTAGACCATTTCTTTAGACCTAAATGGAACAACTCCCATGAAACCACTAGAAAACAAACAACTTCATGATACTTCATTGGCCACCATCCAATCTAAGTCCTCCTTATTCATCACACCAAAATTAGTGCAAAGCCACCATCGATGTGAAAAAGCTGCACTTTCATGTAACACAACCAAGTAACCTCCCTATTTGTTCCAAAAATATTATAAAAATACTTTTGGTACCTACTTGTACACAATTTACGCAAATAAAAACCATAATGCATGCCTAGACAACAAGCTAATATGCTACTCCCATAATCACAATGTATTGAAATAGTTCGTCCTTAGCTAGGGTTAGAATTGTGGAGAGTGATGGTTCCTCTTTCATGAAGGATCCCCTTCCCTCCACCCCCTATAATATGATCTCTACTGAAATCTTTAAGAGCAGATACTGAATAACTGGAACACTTCCACAAACATAATGCAATAATGCGAGCATCCGAGCAATAATGCAGAATATATCACTAATTCATAACGAATTGCTAACTCAACTTAGAAAAAAAACTGAGAGCAACACGAGCCAACGTTACAAGGAAAAAATAATAGCATGTCCCTCCTGAAAGAAACGAAACAAATCTGAAAAGGATCACACATTAGTGCCAATAGCACACAGATTACATGCACTAATCATCACCAGCAAAGTAACGGCGGCGATAGTTGATGACGGCAAGAGATGACACCTTCACATCAACGTTGTAAATAAGGAACGGACGCGAGGTACATCCTCAAACTCTCCGTCGCACACAGAGACTACATGGATGCGCTAACTGAAATTCGATGTAGAATTGCCAAACATTTGCACCAAGTTAATCGAAACTCAGAGTGCCGCCACAGATCGAACTCCTGAACACGTAGCGAGACTATTGCGGTGAACTAAGAGCATACACCCGAGCTGAAGTTTCCTCCAACTTGAAATAAGTGCAAAATCAGGAACCCTAACCTCTGCTTAAATCTCCAAATCCTACAAATCAAACAACGATCCTTCCTCCGCAACCTATCTGAAACCACGACCTCCGTCACCAAAAGGGAAACCCTCTCAGACGAGAACCCAACAGGCAAACCGACAGCGCACCATAACACCCACAGCACCGACAAGCATACCGTACATAGCGTGCTCAGTTCTTTTTATTTCTTCTTCCGGCGCTTATCTTCTCCTGACAGTTTCGAAATAACTCCGCCACAGCATAGAAACACCACACCCGCACCCGCACAAACAGTGTGTCGAGGGCAGGCTTGTAAGCCGGAAAAATGAAGGATGACGCACCTTAGTCGAAAGTCTTGCTCGTGAAATGATTTTCCTGAAGGAGTACACGGCGAAACCCTGCACGCTTGAAGTGGGAGACGGTGAAGAGGGAGTTCGGCCTCTATATCACTGAACCGAAGACGAAGGAAGCAGCAAACGACCAAGACGGGAGAAGCGAAAGACCGATGAAGGAGAAAGCTGGAGAAATGACCCTTTCCGCCGGGGGTTTAGAAAACCCCCCCCCCCCCCCCCCCGCGAGTCTCGGTCGCGGTTTCTGGTCGCTGAATCCCTCCTTCAACTGTCCCTTTGTCTTCTGCAGAAACTAATATCTTAGGCATGATCCTAAAATCTACACTATATGAAGATTTCTTGGTCCCTTTCCCCCACATTGTGGGTTTCTTAACCCAGGACTAATCTTAACGCCTATGAGTGTAGAATAATGCTTAATACAACAAAAAAGAATTCAAACATGCATATGTTATCTTTCTTTTTTCTATTTTCTTCAGCTTTTTCCTCCAAAAAATGAAAAAACAAAAAGAAGTTGCTGGTTTTGTATATGTATTTCATAGTTAGATATTTTTAAGTGAGACATTTCAATAATCATCCAAAGGTTGATTTATTTTAACACTAAACGATTATGCATGTGTATAAGGGGGAAAGAAATAATTACTGCAGAGGTGCATGCTCTTCGTCTGGTTTACACAGACAGCAGTGTTCGATGCCCTTCGTTTCACATCTCCACACTGACTCATGTCTGAGTGGAGTTGAAGCAGTCCCAACTAGTCACACTAGGTTTCTGTTCAGTCTGTCAGTTGTCCGATGTTCATTGTGACGAACGTTATTGATTCACTAGATCCTTCTAGAATAGTTTTCGACTACTTTTGCCCGCAAGGATTGTGCTTTTCTGTGCATTGATCAAATGCTTTCCTTAGGCTCTGCAGAACATGGGTCCGATTGCTCAGGAACTGGTTTTGGGTGCTCCGATTTTCTGGATGGAATCCTTTGTGCCTTCGTTCTGAATCGAGGATGAGCCTGATTGAGTACAAATCCTTTGAGTTGTTCTTTCCACCTCTGACGCGGGGTTGAAGAATGCCCGGGTATTTTTCAAGCGGGGATGAAGTGTTTAGAGCCGTTCAAGATGGTGGGATTTCTGATTAGGCAGCAGCCATCTCTTTGGTGTTGAAACTTGCAGTAGCTTCCAGAATGTGAAAGCACACCAGTGTTCCGGCGATCGCTGCCAACTTGTAAGTACACTGAACAAGAGGCCAGCGCTCGACCAGTTGCAGTCGTATCCATCTTGGATAAACACATTCATTATTGTACAACCATGCTGAAGCAATTTATGATTTGTAAGTTCAAGTGAACCGTTGTTTCTTCGCTTCACTTGTTACACCTTACATTCAAGGTCCGACAATCAATATGTCAAGTCCATTGTTAGGAGAACGGAGCAAAGCGGAAGTAGCAATCAGAATCGATGTACATGCAAAATATCAAGGAAGGAGTACTTCAGGAGGCTAAGGTAACGGTACCAGGTGTCCACCGTGGCTCCAAGTCCAATACAAATACCACCAGACGATGCCAATTTTATTTGATTTGACGTCCACTGACAACGTCCGAAAAATCCATGATATAAAACTTGTACACAAGAATCCTCAGTGTTAGCTTCATGTTAGGCATTTGTGCGAAAAGAAAGTAAAGAAATTGAAGAGAGTGAGAGATAAGTGTATATTAGCTTAATAGGTTTAAGAAGTGCTAAATAACGCTACATGCTTTCAATCAAATCGGTTCCAGTGCGTGGCTTTCGAACTTATAACCGTTCTGCACAATACCGATAAAACAGCTAACCAAGCAACCATCCTTCCTAGTCCATGAATAATGTAGGAAGGAAGCTCATCTTCATTATCCTACTGTAGGCAGGAAAAAATTAAACTCATCTTCAAAGAGAGAGTCAGGAGCTGGATCCGGTACAGGACTGAGCTACATGATACAACCCTCTTGGTACCATCTAATTCCTATTCCTGTTGCCCTGATAACCTCCCCCCTGAGGCTTGAAGAACCCTCCTCCTGTGGTGGGAGCAGCTTGCTGTACCACTCCTGGAAGCTGGGGCATGTTCAAGTGTGCCAACAGCTCGATCGTTTCCCTGTCCACCTCAATCACGTCGGTCTTGATGGCCGACTCCTCCGGCACGAAGTCCATGCGCCTCTCGCGCTCCTCCTCCTGCAACTTCAGAGAGATTCCTCTCACTGGCCCTCTCTGGATGCGCTTCATCAAGTGGGTGGCGAACCCGGCGATCTTGTTGCGGAGTCTCTTCGACGGAATGATTGCTACCTCCTCGGCAATCTTCTTGTTGGTCTGGAAGTCCAGAGTCATGCGAGAGTAGTACCTCTCGATCATGACCCTCGAGGCCTTCTTCACGGTTTTGGTTCTCACACGACCCTGCGCCACACTCAAACAAACGTCAGCTCAAATTCTCACATTAGAAGAGTCACAAATTTGACCAAAAAGCCTAACATCACTTCTGTTCGGTGTCCAACGCACCAAAGACTAGGACTAAACCATCAGCAAGGACGCAAGATAAAGCTGGGTTTAGTTGCGTGATCGCAGTCAAAGTCCAATAAGAGTCACAAACAATAATCCTCGCCTCATAAAATGAACGCAAAACTATCCCACCGAAAGGCACCGGCAAAGACCCCGCTCCAACAGGATTACCAAGCCAGCCAACACAGAAACTACACCTCTCTGAACAAATTTCTAGAACCACATACTGAAGCAACAACGAGGAACAGCAACATAGTGTAATCACCAAAGCTTGAACTTCTAAACCGTGCTGGGGAGGAGACCTAAAATAAGTTCAACATGTTGACTCACACACATCGGAAATATGCGTTACATTATGCAGACGAAACAAGCTTCACTCTGCCAGATTTCAAAACTTCTACAATTGACACAACCACAACAACTGACCGAGGCGGCGCATTACATGCCAAGCGCAACCATGCTCCAATCCAGTCATTAAGTCCAACTCAGACTGACGTAGAAGGTGACAAACCAATCCACATCCATTGATTCAACCACCATACAGACACACAAAATGATTACACGAATTTGGACAGAAAACACAAAGAAGGAAAAAAATACAACAACATATTCCGAAAAACTCACACAGACTACGCATGCACCTCACGAACCCGACCCGAACACACTGAAACCCTAAAATAAAAAACTGGGAATAAGTGTTCTCCAGATGAAGCGATGGAGTCGGAGGGGGAAATTGCAATAGCGGAAGACAGGATGGGATGGGAAACGAACGCACCATGGTGTGGAAACGGAGCTGCGAGGGGAGCAGGAAGCAGCAGCGGGGTGGAGCTCCGGCTGTGGGAGTGGCAACGGGGGCCGAGGAAGGCTGAGCTCTGAGCTCCACTGCAAAAGCTCTGGCCTACAGCAACAGCAGCAGCTTCAGCACACCCACGACGATAGTCCCTCTCTTGCTCCTTTTACTTTGCCTTTAGCTTCCCTGGAAAGGAAATGGCATATTTCTGTGCTTGATGAAGAAGTCGTTTTAAAGGGAGAGTTTATGCAAATTTAGCTTGGATGAATGAGAGTATTAGTTCATGTCTTACGATAAATATATATATATATATATATGTGTGTGTGTGTGTGGGTAGAATTACTTATTGATTTAACTATGCTTGCTCTTGTTTATTTAGTTTCATATTTCCTAGGTTATTTCTTGAATTTTATTGCATTTATTGATAGCTTGTGAATGATTATCTGGTGCAATTTTGACTCCACTCCAATATGTACACATACATGTATGTATATATATATATATATATATATATAGGAGACTGCTAAATAGACCCAGGTTTTTACTAAATTGATCCACCCATCAATTTCTAATGAAACTATTACGATTGGAATCATTGTTCCTACTCTTTCCACAGGTTATGCATCCAAGATTGTTAAATTTTCGGAAGTAAATGTTTATTTCAAGAAGAGAAGAATATTAAAACACTTCAAATCGAATTGGTTTGTGCAGTGTGCAATTTTTTGCCACATAGGCCTATATATTTGAAATTGTTTAGAATCACAGACAATAATAATGGTATCACAATTTCATCATGCAGAATAGGTCAAATCATAGCATGTGTTTCTTAACATCAGCACTTGTGGCAAAAAATAAACTATATTCATGAATGGCATATATATAAAAAAATCAAATCGTTGTGCCTGAGACTTTCTTGCCACAAACATTAGATTCCAGAATCTGAGGTTGGCCATGTTTTTCTTTTGAAAATCACCTGAACAGAAGCAATTTCACTTACACAAGCCCTTTCCAGACAGTCAAATCCTATCATTGTGCTTTCAAACACTCAGTGATCATGGCTTACGATACAGGGCTCCTGTGTACCATGCGTAATTGTGAATTGTATTTTGTGCGGTACCAGGTTCATAGACCAATTCTGCCCGCAATACATGGCAGCAAATCTGCTACAAGGTTCACACTTGCCATTAGAATGCTCTAGGAACCCACAAAAACCATGCACTACGATGAAAAGATTAACACACACAATGCACACCGTAATGCTCAAATTGAAGCTTAGATCACCCATTTCGTAACCCGTTTGAAAGGTGTAAAACTACTCATCCCAGATATCAACCGTGCGAAGACGAAGTCGCACTGCAATGTATAAAAAAAAATTGACATGAATGTATCGTGAATCGATGACAATAACACACAGAAAATCCCGTAACCCTGGAATCCCCAGAATGGTCGGTGCAGCTCTTGAACACTGCTGACCATTGTTAACAGCATTATGTAGAACACTCAGCATGATTGACCGTATTCTGACAATGCTTATACGGATGCTTCACTCATCTCTGCCTCGGCAGGGGTCTCCTGAACTGGATAATAACTATGGTGTAGTTCACCGCCATCGTCACCTGACATTTTCTTCCACCCACTCGGACCACATAATAAACTGCATTTCAACAAAGTCTCAAGTGAGGATGCAAAATAATAGATACTGAAATGAGCGAACGGTGAGTCAAAATTCTGGGCTTCACAGTGATCCCTGACAGTTACTACCAGCATTGATTGCTTACCGCTGACGACGCCACCACTAGCTCCATCACGGAGAGTGGCGTGGTAAATAGAACGACGCGCAAGCTCTACTGCTTCGTCGATGGACATGTCCTGCTTGAAGCTGTAATCAACAATAGATAAAGAAATACCTAGATAGATACACAACGATTTCAAAGCATAAGAATACTATTCCAAACAACGGATTGGTACAAAGAATGTTCATTAACGATACACATGAATTATAAAACATAACAAACGGCAAGATAATGGATAGACATCATCTGTGCAGCACAACAACGTATCATTTTTAACGCAACCTATCCGTTCTTTACACTGTATCGAGTACACCATATGCGTAGGTAGACCCAGATCCAACAGAGAAGCGTGTGCCCTTCACTCTGCCCCCCTCGCTGTCCACGTAGTATAGGCCTGGACCCTGCCATCGACATGTATGTCACACCTCACCAAAATACATGTCTCCGGACAAAACTCTTGTAGATTAGGAAATTGATGCAACTAAAGTATCCTAGATGACATAAAAATGCACCGACATACGGCGACCCATCATCTTGTTCAACACGAGAATCGTGCATCAAATTAGCAAACTGCTGCAGTCCGAAAACTATTGGTTCCCAGAACTTGAAGTCAACGGCGCTCCATCAAAGCTCATCAAGAAACGAATGGTCAGGTCTCGACATCAGTAGCTAGCCAAATCATTGTGATGACTATCTAATCAGGGGCTGTCCAAAGTCGTGAAGTCATCCTTGATGGTTTCCAATGTTATCAACAAATAAGACCTCACATCAGGAGCATCACTTAGAAGTCCTAAGAACTTGTACCGTTTCGTCCCAGCCAGCAATCATAGTGCCCATGAACAGACCCATTCCTCTGTATGAGTAGAGGGTGTTTGCAAGCAACTTTGAAGCTCCAGTCACTGAAATATGCCTCTTGTTCGCTAACTCATGAAGCCGGCACTGTCGAAATTAGAAAACAAAGTACATCAGTCTGCTAATATTCCAAACTTGGGCATGAGCCCAAGCGAGAAAGCTGTAACAGGCCCGTTGTTCGTTTTCACGTGCTTCGCACAGCTAACTATGTGATTGGAAAAACAGCGTTTGTAACATTAAACAAATTCTCGGAGGCACGAGGTCTTACTGTGATCCCAGTAGTTGACTTGCATGAACATCCACATACTCACAGCCTACTGTTCTACATTCAGAGAACTAGAAGCAACAAAAGTACGTTGAGATACTCGTGTGCCTAGATTTCGTTGCCAAAACTGACAATCTGCAGCACCTCCAGCCATTGTGCCCAACAAGTAAGGGTTGATTTCCAAAATTTTCTTCACCGATTGCGAGGCTGTGATGGAAAAACAATGCACTTGTCAGCAAGATGTACCAACTAAACCCTTTCTTCATGCTCCATACATTTAAATAGTGCAACCTTGGGAAACCTCACTGACGCAAAACTGCACCCAGTTATGCTCATAGTATCGTACTTCCAGTTTACTACGCAGGAAAGTCTACTGATGTTCATTAGTAACATCAATACAGAAAGATGCGAAGAAAGAAAAGGAGCATTGATTCGTCTGCTGGAGCGTCTGGCGAGGTATCATACAGATGGAGTTGCCCATGCTGGCACTCGAGTCAGCAGCCACGATGACGCCATGCTTGAAAACGAAAGCCAAAGTGGTTGTACCCTTTGCTGGCTTCACCAGCTGAACTGCTGCCTTTTGAAACCCATCAAGCTACATCACCGGATACACATATGCCGTGTCAGAAAGCCCCCAATGTTTTTCAGACCAACCCAAGTTCCAAGAGAGACTGCAGGCGCAAACTCGGAGCTAATGTGCAATCTAGAGCAGCATCCCTACGATTGCGTACGCATGTTCCCGATGGAATCCTCAACTAGCAATCAACTGAATCGAATTACTCAACACACCCAATGAGCTGCAACCAGCAGCTTCTCAATTACTCCTCTGTGACATTTTTCCGTCCTGACCTAAATTCACGCAACAACCGTGCTGTGTGCATGTCTGATGTAGAGGTGGGATCTGATTAGTCCATATTTACACATCAATACGAAAAGCTCTGATTCAATGTGCTCTCCATATGGTAAATATCGGACGCGGCAACGCACTGCAATCCGATCATCGAGTGTAACGATGTAAGGTCATGTTCATGTTCATGTCCATATCCATACACGCGCGAGCAATTATGAAAACATACCCTAATCACGAAAATATCCGAAAGCTGGAGCCATAAAGAGAGAGAGAGTGCCCACGCCCTCACTCTCCCCCACCCCTCCTTCGCACTGCTTTCAAGGGACCCTGCATCCTGAATGAATGAATGAATGAAGCCATTCATCTACAACGGGATGACGCTGTGCCTTGCCCGTTGCGCTGCTGCGTGGAGGGAAGGGATGGAAGTGAACGCCATTACGACAAATGATCTTCGTCCCCGAGTCCCCTCTTGTCCACGCTGGCTGTCCCTTGTGGATCCATCGTCCACGTAGGATTCAAAATATGTCATCAGTTTGCGTCAAAGCAAGGGATTGAACCACAGAAAACTTCTAGTATGCAATTCTCTTTTAATGGATTGGGTTTCTAATTATACTTTTAGGTTACATACTTAATTTAGGTGACATTCTTCACATATGTAAGGAAATTCAATTTCCTTGTTGGATGTATTTATTTTGATTATGAGAGTCATTGATTGTGGATACACAATTGACCAAAGCGGTAATAGGTTTTTATGTTGCTTCAGTGGCTGTATAGTCTTAAAATTGTCCTTGTACATAACAACAATTCTAATCAATTAAAATGGAATCAACTTCAAATGCTTCATTTTTTTCCATATAATCTAGTTGTCCAAGACGTGGTATAGTTAGTAGATCAATTAGTAGTTTATATAGTTTTAAAAAATTACTGCTGAATATCTATTATATTTTCATTTTCTTACAGAAACTTAGGCTAATAATTAACATATTTGATTTACTTAACAATGGTAAAGGAAAACGCAAATTTGGATACAAATTTGGTTGAGATAGTAAATGTAAACTTCATGGTTTTTCATCAATAAAAGAATTTGTTGTTCTGCTTTTCATTCCACATGTCTTCAACGTTGATTAACATTCTTAATGTTAAAAACTTGTGCCCTTACTAATAAATTTATAAACAATTAAAAATTAGATTTCCAACAATTAAGAGATATAAAACTAACAAGATTTTTTAGCACCCTGTTTAAAGGAATAATGTAATCACTCATGTAAATAGATTTAAATGTCATTTTTTGATAGATAATTATATAAATTAGTTATCAATTATAACTAATTGTTACTTGAAGATATTCAACCAAATATTCTTAATTAATAACTACATATGTTTATACAATTCCTCTCTATACACAATTTACTCTTTTAGTTTGTTCATCACTTTGGAAATGGAAAGCATTTTTTATATTAAATGTTGTATCTATATTTTGAAATAATAATTCCTAAATGTGGCTTGTTAATCACACATTGTAATACTGATAATGTGTTTTGGTAAAGTAGAATTAAATTAGACTATGTTACAAAAAGACAGTCTTGCTTTGGGGTGAATTGTAAAATCATTTTCATGCTTATGAAGTTAGAAATCAACCACAATATGACATACGTACTTTAGAAACATACTTTGAACCTTTAAAAAAAGTTAGAGTAAAACTCATATTCTATAAATTTCATAGATTTGGTAAATAAATAAATAAATAAATAAATAAATATGTGTATATGTATATATATATATATATATATATATATATGTTGAAATTGTCTTGTGTTTTTTGAATCTTTAAAATTTTGAATTTCTTTCTACAAAGTAATTTTAATTTTTATAAATAATTATTAATCTTAAAAATAAATTGGTCAAAAATAGGTTATCACAAAAAATAATATTATATTTTTTTACTATGAAATATTTAGGTATAAATGAAGAATAGTGTTTCTAAAGTAATATCTTCTTGGATCAAAATACACACTCTAGTTTTATAGGATATAATTCTATCTCATAATGTATAAGTAGAGGCTTCTAATTATATTAACTTCTTTTATCGAATCAAATAATAATGATAATAATAATATATTTTTAAAAAATTGATATATTTTTCTTGTGAAAAAACTCATGCATGCATGTTATATATATACATGCATGTTATATATATACATGCATGTTATATATATACATGCATGCAATAGTAAAGAGTATCAATTATAAAAAGATTATTATTATTATTATTATTATTTTTTAATTATTAGTCATAGTAAACCAAAAAATTCTTATTATTGAGATTTTAAGTAGATAAGTAAGATTGAATGTCAAAGTTTGAGACTAATATTACTTTCAACAATGATAATGGCATATATTTCTACATAATTATGTCATGTTTTTAGTACAAAAATAATGGAATGTTGTTCTAAATTATAAACAACTTTTTTTTTTGTGATTTATTCGTTTTTTAAAATTCACATGCAATAGATTGTTCTTCTTGCAACAGTGTCTTCTATCACTTCTATAAAAGCATTAATTAAAGCTAAAAAGATAACTTAGATTTTGTAATTTTAAAAATTGGAGCATGAATCAAGATACTTTTCTATTTTTCAAAAATATTTAAAATTTTCAAATTCTATTATAAATCTGATTTTAAATATAAGATATGATATAAAATAATAATTGCATTATTAAAGTAAGAATGAGTTTTTGATAATAGCTTACAAGATTCAAAAAAAAGTCTATGTTTATTAATGTTTCTTGGACTTACCAAATTTCAAACAACTTGGATATATTTTAGATAAGATTCTTTTTGTAGATGACTTAGAATTTGGCTTAAAATGTGATTTGTATGTTATTTTTTTATATTCATTTAACTTTGTATACAATTGATTGTTCAAAAGAACTTGATTTTTTTAAAAAAAATACATTCTAAATATTTTTTTTGTATTCTAATCATAAATAAAAAATATCATCAAGATAGATTTTAAATATCTATCCAAATCTGGCCTAAATATTTTATCTATTTGAAATATAGACATTGTTGGCACACATCATCTCAAAAACATAACTAGAAAATTTTAAGATCCAAATTTGTTACAAAATATCTTTATTTAAATTTTAACATCTTATACTCTAATTTGTTAATAATTAGATTACAAACCAATCTTACTGAATGATTAAGCATGATTTGTTTAGTTTAACATATCATCAATTTATGGTTAAAGATAGTTTATTTATTTATTTATTTATTGACATTATGTACGTATTTGTGTAGTTCCATAATTGTTTGTAAACAAATAACATGAGTATCCAATTGCTAATTTTAAAGATATTATGTATGTTTTTGTAAAAAGCTCTTGTAAGTATTCACATTTTGTTTTTTTGTAAGCTCCTCTAAACCTAATCAATATTTTTTTTTATCATGTATTAATTATTAGGTATTAATTCAATTCTTTATTTTACTTGATAAGACAAATGACACTTTTCATATAACTTGTTAAGAATAAATTAGGCTAAGTAAATTTGCAACAAAGATAAAATTGTGATAGGATGTCTATATGTTTTGTTTTTGTTAAACTAGTGAAAGGAGTTCCTATATATTAGCGAATGAATCAATTAATTCTTCTACTATGTCTTTTTAAAACATGTTTCGTTTTAGAATTATTTCATAAAATAAAAATGATGAGTTCTTTTTCTTAAAAAATTGATTTTCAAGAATTGATCTATTTCTTATACAATATTATATTTCTATAATAAAATTATATAAATATCTAAGCAATCATACAATCTACCAATCTTTATGGCTCAATTATGCAAAGAAGATTTAAAGTTTTAAATCTAATATTTTTAAGCTTTATAGTTTATAGTTTAATTTTAAAGTAGTTTATATTCTAAGTATTTGTAAATTATAATTCAAAAGATATGAAGATTTTATAAATATTCAATAAATATGAAGAAAGAAATCTAATTTAGCCGTATCTTTGGTACAACACATGATGGATCTATATGCCACAATATATGCATAATCGACCATATGTTTAATGCATAAATTATATTACTACACTTTTAAACTGATTACACAGTTATTACCAATGAAAATTTGAATAATTTGAAATACAAAATTTAAATCTAAAGAGAGGCTAGATGTTATTACATGTAGTTTTTTGCATATGATTTTTTTGAATATTTTATTAATCTAATTCATAGTACTATCAATATGCTAAAAAAATAAGCTAATAAAATTGATATTTTTAAAATTTATGTATGATTTGATAATGTAATAATTTAATAATAGAATTATGGGTGTTTGTTTACAGTTTACCAGCTTATTCAAATCTACATGTCTTTGTAAACTTTTCAAAAAGTAATGTAAATTACAATTGAAGACTTGAATTTAAAGTGTCCCACAAATAATCACTCATGCATTCGTTCTACATAGGTTCTAAAAATATGAGACATTGATAAACTTGTCTTGTATTAAGTAATGGAATTTATTTGTTGATTGGGTTATTTATGAAATCGACCAAGTTTTGGTCGCAATATCTTATTGTGTACTATATCATTTTACCAAATAATTTTTTTGTGTTAAAGAAGAACAAAAACATGTTCATATTTATTATTGATATGTCTTAAAACTAATTGAAGTGTTAAAACTAAGTTAGTATACCATATTCATCAATTGAAATATGTACACATTATAATGATTATTTGTATAACATGTCAATTTAAAAAAAGATTATGTATTAACATTATGTGGCACACAATATAATGTTGTGATTAAAACCTGGAAAAATTAGTAAAAACCTTGGTTGATGTATGAATTCCTTTTAAGTAAATTTTCCTACTTGTTCTATATTAAATCCAACATAGGATACAAATGAATGTGAATAGAGTTACACAAGAGTAGCAACCTTGTATTTAAAGCGTAAAACTACTTTATAATTTTTTGAAATTGATATCTTTTAAATATGAGTTTAAAAAATATTTTTTTATTGCCTTAATATAGAGCAAGTTTTTTTTTTTTGTTGATTTATAGAGAATGTCCTACAATGGTAGAGCTTGCTCATGCAAATATTATTAAAAAAAACTAAAAATAAATGTACATTGAAATACGGTTATTTTCCTTCAATTCTTTTTGTGTAGACTTTGAATAAATTATGTAGACTCTAGAATGTTAAAAATTATCTCACATTTTAAATCGTACTTATTTCAAGTCAATTGAGATTGTTTGAAATTTGAGATCTTCTTCATACTTATGTAGGGCGAATTGATTGTATAAGTTCTAAATGCTTCACATTGAATTTGTAGGCCAAGTTTTTAGAACATTGGTTTAGTACAATATTAAAATCTTTGACAAAGTTTTTAAGATTTATTCATATATATATATATATATATATATGCACATACACTATTACATGCAGTTACATATCATGATTTTTAAATGTATTATTTTGAATGTGGTGTGAGTGTTTCCCTCTTGCTAGTTTTGACAATTGACAAATCAGCAAATGGCCCGCAAACATAGACAGAATGCCCCTTTTTTTCTTTTTATTTAAGGAAATAAAAAAAAATCACCATTGAGGAATTAACAAAATACAAAGAAACATGAATCAAGGTGGGCCAAATTCTTTGAAAAGCATGATTATTGTGGAGGATAAATCCAGTAGAGACATGTTCAATAATGTATAGAGGAGAGCTATAATGTACTCACTAGGAAGTGTGGAGTTGCAACTGGTTCGACTTGCGACATCAACAGGATTCTGCATGTATGGGAAAAGATGAAGAAAAAGAAAAATCAAACGAAAAAAGCAAAAGTATGTTTAGTAGAGCTACACCCCTCGAGAACACGACACGATATTTCAATGTGGATGAAAATTAAGAGGATGAGAATAATCCCAAGCCACGAACCTTCCACGTGTCATGTGAAGGGGTTTAGTGACGGGGCTAATATCTCCATGGAGTAGTGAATCGTGAACTCTTTAGCGCGGGTGGTTAGAATTAGCGGTACCAGCGGTCATAGGTGAGGTATCCTATAGCTGGTGATAGGAGTAGCAGGTGAAACATTCGGAAGCCAGGTAGTGGATATGGCGACGATATTTTGCTAGAGAAGGGCCACTACATTTTTCTTGGAGCAATGCAAAGACGACCACAACCTTGATAATAGCGATTGGCCGGGTTTTTATCATGAATCCCGACTAACCCGTGCACCCTAACACCCGGCCCACCCCATGCGACCCGGTCCCAGCGTTGACTGGCAAGTAGTGGCGTTGGTGATGGTGATGACCATTCGCCTCTTCAAATTGTCAAGTGTACCTTCAATATTTGTTTTTTTTTGTTTTTTTTTTTCGTCGTTTACTCCCGGTCTTGCATGCTTGTTTGTTGCGCAGGAATTTGTTTCGTAGATTCATTTATTTTTGTTTCTTTTCGTTTTCGCAACGACTGAAGGGCATTTCTGCTGCACCACACATGTATCGCCTGTACCTAACTTCGTCATGGCTGGAATTTGATGTGTAATTGAAGCATGATGTCTAGATGAATGAGTTTTAGCGAGTTGCGGTGGTAGTGTGGTGGAGTTGATCATTTGTGGTGACGAAGGGGAGTTTTTGAGTTGCAATTTGTGGTAGAGGGCGGAAGCGACTGTTGGAGGAAGTTTTTTTTTTCGACTTATTTATGGAGGAGTGGGGCTGTATTGCCTCTCTAATTCTGACGTTGTCGGTGGAATTGCAACGTTGGTTGGTGGATTCGTAGAGTGTGAGGGAGGATTTGTAGCGGTCAAGTGGATCTATTTTAGGAATTCAATTAGTTTGTGAGTTTTTTTGATGAGTGTATGTAGCTTTTGTTTGAGAGCAATGGCGTATATGGAGACTGTGAGGAGTTTGAGAATCGCAATACTTGTGATGACGGTGATTCTTGTAGTGGAACCGGCTCTTGGAAGCTTTATGGTGGAAAAGAACAGCTTAACTGTGATAACTCCTAAGAGCTTGAAGGGGACGTATCAAAGCGCTATTGGTAATTTTGGAGTTCCTCAGTATGGTGGCACGCTGTCAGGTGTGATTGTGTATTCGACGGTGAACTTGAAAGGCTGTGACAAATTCCCTGATGACTATTTTCGATCGAAACCTGGTGCCTGGCCCAACTTCGCCCTCATCGATCGTGGTGGTAACGTTCCATACTCCCTCTTCCTGTTTCTACGTATTTATTTTCCAAGATGATTTCGGCTAGCGGAAATTTTCTTTATCACAGTCCAGTTGGTGAGAGTATTACAGCGTTGCTGTTAGTTGTAAATTGTCATTTACCTCGTCAAGGCTCGTAAAATTAGAATCTTTGATATAAGGATATGACGAACAGTGCTGGGATCATGTGAGGAGTTTGAGAGGAAGAAAATTTGAAGTGCTCTAGGTCTGCAAATGGTGGGAAGTCGATTTTTACGTGGAATTGAATTGCATTTATCTATATCTATAAATACATGTATATATATATATATATATATATATACATACTTTGTCAATGACTGGTGTCCAAGAAGGACACAGTACCATCATGTTTCCCCGTTCTCGATTGATTGAAGAATTAGGTGTTCTGAAATTGGCCATCAGTTTTCAGAGTTATTTCTGATTACAGTACATAATGAAGATATGAATTTGGATTTCTGTAGATTGTTACTTTTCAACAAAGGTTTGGAATGCGCAACAAGCTGGCGCAGCAGCGGTGCTCGTGGCAGACGACAAGCATGAGGACCTGATAACCATGGACTCACCGGAGGAAGATCCCTCGGCATCACAGTACCTACAAAAGATTTCCATTCCATCTGCGCTTATTGAAAAGAAATTTGGGGATAGTTTGAAGAAGGCTCTTAGCGACAAGGAATTCATCTCTATGAAACTCGACTGGCGAGAGTCACTTCCACATCCCGACGACCGCGTGGAGTATGAGTTTTGGACCAATAGTAACGACGAGTGCGGCCCTAAATGTGACGCTCAAGTTGAATTTGTCCGGAACTTCAAAGGCGTCGCTCAAATTCTGGAGCGAGGGGGTTACACTCAATTCACTCCTCACTACATTACGTGGTACTGTCCACAGGTGCACTGATTTCTTACCTTATACTTTTTGCAAACATACCCTCGGCAGGTGAAATTTTAGATTGGCAAGGGCGTCATATCAAATTCGCTAAAATCATAACTCAGAATCGGTGTCCGTGTGTGTGTGTTTGTTTGTTGTTTAGGCGTTCATTGAGAGCAAGCAGTGCAAGTCACAATGCATAAATAACGGTCGTTACTGTGCTCCGGATCCCGAGAAAGATTTTAACAAAGGGTATGATGGCAAGCAAGTTGTTACCGAGAATCTCAGGCAACTTTGCGTTTTCAAGGTTGCAAATGAAAGCAATCCCCGCCAGCCATGGAAATGGTGGGATTATGTCACAGATTTTCAAATACGTTGCCGGATGAAAGATAACAGATACGGTCCCGAGTGTGCTGAGGAAGTCATCAAATCGCTCAGTAATCCCCCTAACTGTGCTTCGTCATGCTGTTTAGTGTCGGAATGAAATGATGTTCCAGTTTATCGAGTAGGAATTTCCTCCGAAATTTTTGGAAGATTTTTCGAAATGAGATTTTCTTTGAGCAGAACTTGTCTAGTACTAAACTCTAGACTGGTCGTACAGACATCGATGTTGACAAGGTGCGCAAGTGCATGGGCGACCCAAACGCTGATGCTGACAACGATCTTTTGAAGCACGAGCAGGAAGCTCAGGTTGGCAGCGGCGTTCGGGGAGATGTAACCATATTGCCGACGCTTGGCATCAACCAACGACAATATCGAGGTCCGTCAGTCCTTGTATTGCAGTGTATTATAATTTAATTATCTTTCATATTATGATTTTAACAGTTCAGGGCTTAGGGGCCAGACATTATATATAACTACCTCCAAACCCCAGCCGTCACTGCATAAGGTGGGTATGGATATTAGGGCTACGGCTAGTTTCTTCTTGTTCTTTTCCCTGTCTCGTTGTCTCCTCCTTACTGCATATGACCACAACCTGCTCCCATTGGAACAGGCTTTTGTTCCCAGCACACATGTCATTCCATGGAAATTGAGTTGCTATCATCCCTGATTCGTGTTTAGGCACTACTTGCATCAAAGAATCCCAGGTCACCTGGGTTTAGGTCTCGGTTTTAAGTTCTTGAGATATCCGTGGTTCTCGTTTTGGGTTGCTGCAGGCAAACTGGACAAGACGGCGGTGTTGAAGGCCATCTGCTCGGGTTACCAAGAAACCGCGGATCCGCCTGTATGCTTGAGCGATACTGTAGAGACTAATGAGTGTGTGGATAATAACGGTGGTTGCTGGGAGAGAGGTTCCGTAACCGCATGCAAGGTGCGCTGCATGTTAGACAAGCAATTCCACACTCTTCTAAGCTGTGCTCAGTAGCATTCGTTTTCCCGATACTCTACTCTTGTTGTCTTGTTCAGTTTTTTGGTTGTATTAAGTGGTTTGATTTCTATCCTTTGGCTGCAGGATACCTTCAGAGGTCGTGTTTGTCAATGTCCGCTTATCGATGGCGTGCAATTTGAGGGTGACGGCTACACTCATTGTGAAGGTATAATAGTCTCAGCTTGGCTGGTCTTGCACTTGTCTGCATAAGTGGTTAACTTTTTGCGAATAAATAGTTGTGATTTAGGCGCTAATGTGAACTTTGTTGAATCAGCCCATGGTCCTGAGCGTTGCAAGGTAGATAATGGTGGGTGTTGGGAAGAGACACGACTTGGAGTCCATCATTCAGCTTGCCATGTAAGTGCATTTACACGAAATATGAATTTATATTTCTAGTATTTACTGTACCAGTTTCGGACTTTACTGTCGTAATTATATCATAAAGAAGGAAATACTTGTCGCACATGAAGTCATTGAAATTGTAAGTGCGCGGATTATGCAGGGTCATCATCATCATCACGGCTGTCATTGTCCATGGGGTTTTGAGGGAAACGCGTCGAGAGTTGAAGGGGGTTGCGTAGGTATTTTCTACCTCCTACTCAGTTTTATGAATCAAATTTGGAGTTCATCAATGTCAATGCGAGCATTATACTTATCTTTCAAGTGATTCTTGAGTGTTTTATTGCAACCACTTCAATTAAAGAATGTGTAGCAGCGAAAAGAAGAAAATGATGTTGGTATTACAGTATACGATGTCTAAGTATTTGTGATTGGTACAGATGTCGACGAATGCTCCAGGAAGTTGAAGTGCCAGTGTCCTGAGTGTAAATGCACCAATACTTGGGGTTCATACAAATGTGAATGTTCAGGCGATCTACTGTACTTTCACCAGCATGATACATGTATAAGTGAGTGCTCTGCTTCTAGCTGTCCGTCGGACATGATTTTTTCTGTTACTGCGTGGCATATTGCTGATTACAGTAGCTAAACGTAGTGGACGTGTTTGGTATATCAAGATAGTCCTTGAGTTGATTTCGAATCCTGAAAAATTGTGCAGATCAAAAGGGTGCACAATCTGAGACGGCGGGGTGGGTGGTTTCCCTTATCGTGTTAGCCGGTATTTCGGTTCTTGGGCTTGGCAGTTACGTTGTCTACAAATATCGCCTCCGGGTATGTGTTACAGCTTTCTTTTTGTATGATAATTATTGGATTAATGAAAGGACTGTTCAAGTTTGTCCATCTATTAATAACTATGATGTTGATCTGTGGGCATGGGTGGAATGGTGCAGACGTACATGGATTCAGAGATTCGAGCGATTATGGCCCAGTACATGCCGTTGGATAGTCAAAGCGAAATTCAGAATCACTCTCGCGATGATGTAATATAAAATTGAAGCTGTTAGGCAGTGCGGTTTAACGTGGTTTGTCGTCGAAGTTGTGCGTCATACCACGGTTTAATAACGACAACGAAAGAAGGAAACACTTTTACCCTTATGAAGCATGGAGCCAGATGTCACTGAAATCAACCCATAGAGTCTGGTGGAAGCAAGTAGATATTTATCAGAATGTTCATCTCTGAATGCTGGATGGGAGGGTGTAAGTCGACAATTAGGGGACCGCACGCTTTTTTGGCATTGTGCCAAGTCAGTTGCAATCCTGCTGATTGTGCTGACTTGGGTCTTTGTAATCCAGACATGAATATCAGTGTTAGTTTGCGATTGGAATCTCTCTTCTCACGGACGACCTGACAATATTTATCGCATTGCGTCTTAAATATTTACTGTTTTTGAGTTCGTGTTTTTATATTTCTTTTTCACATTACCCTATATCAAATCAACGATAATGTATCAATTTACTCGAATCGTCTGAGATAAATTTTGAGTATACTGCAAACCTAATCTACTTATCAAGGACCTTACGTGGCTTGCATGAGTTCAGGCCCTCGAACCTCGTTTAACTTCACTTGCAATGCTTTTGATTGAACTGTCAAAAGAATATTGTACTCAGATTTGGCAACCTCCCGTCGAGTTTCGCTGGGCTTGTTATTCAGAGGCAACCCACCAGCTACCTCGAGATAAGAAATTTATCCAGTGTCACTGATCAATTATATTAAGAAGGACGACTCAAGAACCACTGCAGGAATCTTTTTTCGTAAGAGCAAAGTGTCACGAATACCCGAGAAAAGTAACAAATGACATTACATTTTACCTTTGAAGAGGAATACCTGGAACATAACAAGCTTCCATCCACTTGTAATGCCTTCTGGAAGACCACGTCTTTCACCATCGACAAGGATCCATTTGGAACGACACTTATCAGGTAACGTCGTCCTGGGCAAGCATGTGATAGACAGGAGAACGGGGAAAGGCGATCCGGGATACTAGTTTATTCTTTGGTTTTCTTTCTTCTTGTGTTTTTTTCCGCTTCTTCTCTCATCATCTTCTATCACTTGCAGTTGGTCACCCAAGCCGGGCGAATCTTTTGTTGATTTTTTTTAATCTTACTTCTGATACCAATGTTGACTAGATACTGTAAGCCCTGTGTGTGCGTGTGTGTAGTGCTCAACACAGTAAGTACACCATTGTTTGTTAGTAGGTTCATTATCGTCTCATGGATGATAGAACCCATCAGTGTTCTGTTCATCTGAGCCGTCTAGGGTTTCAAGCACACAACACATCCTCGTCCCCCTTCGTCCTTTGTTTACTTCCCGTCGCCCTCTTGCAGCAAAACCCTCGCAGCCGTGTGCTCTCTCTTCGCTTCGAATTCCTCGTATTTGCGCTTACATACATGACGTCGTAACATCTATATGCCGTATGCAAACATCTGTGTGTTTGTTTGTTATTTTTGAAATTCCTGCTTCATGGATGAAGATTGGCAAGAAAATAACGGCGCATGATACACCATATCACAATTGTATTCTCGCTTGCCTTGTGTGCATTCGAATTGCGAGATAGGAGCTGATCTGAATGATTTAAAGGACGGAAGAGTTCTTCAAGCTGGAATATGGTGAGCACATCTTCAAACTTGTTCGTCTACGAAGATTCTTAGACCATTTTGAGGATTGAGCTTTCTTTGACTCTCAGTTGCAACTTCTCAATGTCATATATCTTAAAAGACTCAATGTTTTCAACAGAAGATCTTACTTGGAGCTCTTCTATTGTGGGTAATGCTTTAGTCGCGGATCACATATACTTAATCATCAATCGTGAAAGAGTTGGTGTTTATGTTGATGAAGTATATGACAACATATTTCAACCGTGTAGAAAGCAAATTTAGCTCTCATTAAAATGTTGTTGAATTATATCGGGAAGGTAAATCGAAGTCCTGTCATGCTATTCATATATCTATTTACCTTGGTGTTAGGATTCTTTGAGCCATTTACTTGGTTTGAGTTGATTAGCACATGATAAGCCATTCATATTAAATTTACTTGATGGAACTACTATAATTATGTGCACAGTAGAAGCATTATTGTTTATTTCTTTTATATTAGAAATTTAATTTACAACAAGCATGCATCATAGTTTCTTTTAATTTATTAGAAATGTAATTTACTAATAAAGTACATCATTGTTTTTTTTTACCAAAAATTTAATTCATTGTAAGAATGCAGCCATTTATTGCATAAAGTGGACTTTTTACAAATTAATTACTTTAATTGTGTCATTTGTATAATGAATGATTTAGGAAATACATATGATTTGAAAAAAAAAAACTTATAAATTTAAAAAGAAGAGATGGCATTTTGAATAGAGTAGTTTTATGGCATATCAAATTTTGTAATAAAATGTCAATAGTTGTTGGTATTAGATAATTATTGAAAGATGGATGGTGCAATGAAAAAATATTCTACTTTAATGCTTATCAAAGATATGAATCAATTTTGTTTGTATGAAGCATGCTTAAGAGTTTACATGTAAATTAGTTTTGTTAATATATATATATATATATATATGCATATATATTGTCTTTGTGTGAAGGTTTTGTGGCAATCAAACAATATTTTAAGAATCTAAGGTTACATAAATTAGCAAAGGAATATATTTAATAATCAAATGCTAGTTTTATTTTGAGGTATGAACATCATTCATATTGATTTTGTATAGATGATGAGTCATTTGAATATATATATATATATATTATATATAAAGTTATACAAAAAAATATTAAAAAGTTATTAAAAAGAAGTAGAAATATAATTGGAGATTTATTTAGTCCACATGATGTTTATTAGTAACATTTTTATTATGTTGAAGACTTTTTTTGGTGGTGAAAATTTATCTAAATGTTGCAAAATATGTAATAAGGTTTTATTCATGTAATTGAAGGCGAATTATACATATTTTTTTAAATATTTACCATAATCTATCTTGTAAAGATTTTTATGAAGTATATTTTAATAATATGGAGGTTTTTATTTATTTTTTGTACATTGGAATTTGTACTTATTATAGAATATTGTGACAAGTTTGAAGAGGGTATTGTAATTGTATTCCAAATAAGAGAAGTTGATATAAGACATATACTTATTCAATGCTACAATTATAATCAAGAAATGGAGGTATTATTGAAGATTAAAGCCTTTTTGAATAGAAATTAATGTGTAAATATTTGCAAACCACTTCGCCATGTTATTAAAATATTTGAAGATTTGAGAGCTTGTAGTATTGAAAGAAGTGAGTATAAGTTTTATTTTGTAAATTTCAATATACAACATTGAGGATATATATGTTGATAAAAGCTTGTATACAAGAAAGATAGGATGAAGGAAGTATCTATCAAGGACAAGAACATAATAAAGATAAATAAACAAGTAAGACTTCTTTCAAAGAAAGATGACAAAATAAAAATGACTTGATATATAAATTAAAAAAGAAATTGGAATGGCTATTATCAAAAGACAAGAAAATTAGAGACCTTTGAAACTAGACTGGAAGCAAGAAAAAAGTTGACAAGAGTGAAGAAGGCTTCACTCTTGTCTCTATATATACTATCTAATTAGGGACTACGTGGCGACGTTCTATAGGACCTCCAATATGTATTGACTTTGTAGGACACATGCCTTGACTTATAAGGCAAGTTTTTCTATGTGTGGACCACATAGTTAGCTTGGTCTTCAAGCTTACAACATGTGTGGCACATGGCCAACTTGTTGACCACGTTTCTAATCCAAAAAGTCAATTAAAGACACCTATAAAGTCAAAGTAATGTCTATAAAGCTTCTAGGAAGCTTCCATATCAAATACTATAGAATTAATTTATTTTTACATACTTTTACTTACTTCTACCTATTTATACATGTAATTATTGGCTTACATGTGTATGTCTGAGATATTACCCCTCTTCTAGGGACGAGTTCCACAAGGAGCGATAATCATATGTTGAGGAAATCTATGATGTGACGAATTGTATTTGCCACATACTCTGATCTTTGTTCTCTTCGAAGATGATTGATAGGGCCTCTCAACCATCGGTAGTATCCCATACCAGGGCGGGAAGACCACCCAGTTATTTGATCATTATTGAGGCCTCTATAACTTTCTTCGAATAAAACATTTGGAACACCATTAAGAGTTGTTCCTACCTCTAGTAAAATCACCAAACATCGAGAGTCCTTTCTAAGGTTGTGATATCAAACGCCTTGTATTTCGCCATCTATTCGAGGAAGAACATGTCGTTTTTGAAGATCTTCATCTCAATTACGTCGTCTTGAAGGTTGAAACAATCATAATGTCTCATCTGGCATGTCAACAAACAAAGGTTCTTGAGTCAAATCCTCTGATTGTTGGTTCTCCATGTCTTGAGTGTCACAACTACAAAAAAGCTACAAACAAGGATTAAAAGTAGAATGATATCTTGCTTAGATCTTGTTTCTTTTATAAAGAAGGTTTTCATCTAGATTTTGATGGATGTTGTCGTTGAAAAGCCTCCACCATCTTTGCTGCATTTGTAAGATTCTTTACTAGCTCCCATGTGCATTCACTAATATCATATCCGCACCAATGGACAAGATATTCCAATTCATTTTGGCGCCGCCTTGAATCTAAGACTTCTTCCAATTCAAATTCTTCATTATTGTTTACTTCTATAGGAAGAGGTGGAACTTGTCTTCTTCTTGGTATGTCCATTGTCTTGTATGATTCAAGAAGAGACACGTGGAATTTTGGATGGATTTTTATTAACTTTGGTAGATATAAACGATTTGCAACTGGATTGATTTGTGCAGAAATAGAAAATGGTCCAAGCCTTCGATAGTCCAACTTGTCACAAGGATGAGTGGTCTTGATATTGCGACAAAGTAACCATACCTTATTACCCATGTGGAATGGTGATTGTTCCTTTTGATAGACATCCGCATTGACCTTTTGTTGTTCTTGAGCTTCTTTTAACTGCGCCTTCATCGTTGCATGTAGCTCTAACAAATGAATTACCAAATCTTTCACAATAGGATTATCAACTTTTGAAAAGTCAAAAGTATCAAGTCGTGGATGATAATCATAATTAGCAAAGAAAGAAGTTTATTTTGTAGAAGAATATACTATGTTATTGTAAATAAACTCTGCCAATGGCAAAAGAGCTGTTCAATCATCTTATTGGTAGTTAATGGTACATCTTAAATACTGCTCCAAAACTTGATTAACACACTCTGTTTGTCCATCAGTTTGAGGATGGAATGTCGAAGATAGTTTTATATCCACTTTTAGAATCTTGAAAAGAGTGTACCAAAATCTTCATACAAA